AATTAGTCAATATGATATATGCGTATCTTAACGTTTAGCGAACTGTTGATAACTCAATCAATCAATAAATAATTACATCAATCAACCAATCAAACAAACAATCAATACACATACCGACCAACCAACCTATCGAAATGAAGAACCTGTCCCTTGATATACAAACAGTTTATCAACCAAGCAATCAACCAAAAAGCATGTACACCTTAGAAAATATTGAATAACTTTTATTTATAGGTCTTTGCTAAAACAATTGCTTTATATTTAATGGTAGCAATATTATAGCACATACTTGCAACTTCTCGTCCAATCAAATTGCTTAAGTTTGCCTTCTAATGTTCACAGTACATATATTAACGGTGTACTAAGTAACTACGCATGAATGACCACAAGTGTAAGATTTCATTTAATCGAGATATTAAAACAAAAATAATGGCAATTTTGAAATAAAATGCTCTGTATCAAATTAAATAAAATAATTTGTAATTAGTTTTCACATTGATTTGTATATAAGTATCCTGCTTTTAAAATCTTTGGATAAAAAAAAAATGTTTTTGTTTCTTTCATTTAAATAAAGAGTAACAAATATGGCCCTTAATACCTTGATTAGAGTACAACGCTATCTTAAAATTGTGGTAATTTTTCACACATGCAATTGTCAATGGAAATCAAGGCAACTTGATGATGATTTTTTTTTTAACTTTCTTAAGGAAATTGATCTATTTCGTCATGAATTGATTGGTTGATTGATGGTTGGTTGCTTAATGTCCAGTGTCAAATATTTCATGCATTTTCAGGACGATGTCATGAATTAAAAATCAGTGATTATGAAGGAAATGTGCCACCTATTCTATACATATTCTAATAAATCCTGTAGTTTTTACTTTGAAATAAAAAAAACAAACAAACTATTATCTTTGATCTATTGGTAGTTGCTTTTCAATGCCTATCCGCTAGACTATCTATTGGGACGAACTATCTATATACGCTTCAAATTTATTATAGCTTTAATGTTACTGTGAAATTGAAAAATGTTTTCCAAACATGTAAAGCTTCCACTGAATTAATGCCTGATATTGGTCAATTTATTTTGTCATCTTACCATGAAAATAAGTAAATGTTGTAAAACACCGCTTTATGTCAATATACATACTTATACCAGCAGGTATCATCTTTTCATTCTGGAGTGAATGTCCTTTTGAAATCACATATTTTACTATGATTATAGTGAGTAGATTTACAAAACATAAAACTTTGTTAATGAACTCTGTTTAACAAACACCTGTGATATAAGTAGTCGTCCAAAATAAACTATGAATAGACCAATTAAAATGTTACTTGTGTTGTAAATATGTGCTAAATTGGAAAGTCTATGAAAAGGTATATACTATGAAATCAAGTGCACGGGGCAAGCCCATCGCTCTAAATTTCATAGTATATACCTTTTCATAGACTAACATAAACATAAAAGCTATTGATTTATCAAAAAATCACTAATGAAGTTAATAATTTGAGATGATTCCTAATTTAGATGTCTCACCTCTAGACCCTCTTCTGTTAATTGTCACTTGTAATCATTGATCTAACATGTCTACAGTATGTGTAACAGTGGTTTGATTCCGCCAGTGTACTTTATCCGGAGGAAGAAAATCCCCAGTGATTTTTATCCACCAACAAAAATTCACTAGGTTTTTCTATCCTGGTCCAGCGTAAAACATCCACCAGTCATTATAAGGTTCTAAAAAGTTTTTTTTTAAGGGGAAATATATATAAAATGTGGCTTAATAGTTTTTAGTGTATTTGAAACTTGCATAGCTGATTTATATAAAAAGTTGAGAGTTTTCATCCAAAGAATGTTCACACTAGTGTTTTTGAACCTGGAATGATTACACTAGTGATTTTGTACCGGAATGATTGCACTAGTTATTTTATACCGGGATTAATTACACTAGTGCTTTAGATCCATACATTGATGAAGTGATTAGTACTCATTTTGAACTCATGGTAACACAATAATGCTTATTAACGAATAAGATTTAAATAATTTTTCTATGCAAACCTATAAAATCATACGCTTTTAAATTGTCACTAATTGTAATATTATTATTTATTGGATTGCCGAAGTTTTTTCTGTGTATTTGCTCTTCGGTCGACTTTGATATAAAATCATATCTTCTTTGTCAATATCAAAGGATGCTTCTATAATTGAAACTTTATGTAAGAACAAATCTGCTCTTTAAATTTGGTTTATATCAAGTTCAATGTCCTGGTCATTGATAAAGTATTTTGAGTTATAAAAATATCCTCCTCGTCATAATCAATATTATTTACTATATTGACTCAGATTAATTAAACTGGTTCCTTGAAATTTTTTTTAATTTTAACCCATTTATTTATGTAAACAATAAACCGGTCTAATATGAACAAAACAACAATATCAAGATCGACGCTTTCACACTATTTACATCCAATATTCTCTAGCGGCAATACCAAATAATAAAACGTAAGAAATTAGAAGATAAACTATGTGCATCTAATCAGCGTGAATTTTGGAAGTCTGTTTGTAAAAAAGGAATCGCAAGTGAACGTAAACCATGTATTCCGATGGCTGTATTGGGTCCAAATGGAAATGTAAATACGAATAAAAATGATGTACTTAATAAATGGAAGAGTGACTTTCAAAATTTATTTCAACGAAATGGTGGAGATAATAGCCAGCTTGATGCATCCACTTTCAATACGGAAATAGACGTTACACCTTTAAATCAACCAATTTCAAGAGACGAGGTCGTTGATGCCGTAATAAGTGCTAAATTACGGAAAGCCACGGGAATAGATGAAATGTTGTCGTAAGTTTTAAAGAATGACGCGGCAATTGATTACTATTTCAAATTATCAGCGGTTGCTTTAACCTGGGAAAAGTTCCTTATCAGTGGAATAGTGGTATCATAAATCCGATTTTCAAACCGGGATCTGACGACGACAGAAATCCGATGAACTACAGGGGAATAACTTTGGTTGCCATGTAAAATATATTGTAACATTTTAAACTTTAGACTTAGCTCTTGGCTGGAAAATAACGAAATTCTGTGTGATGAACAAAATGGGTTCCGCCGTAACCGTATTTGCGAAGAACATATAAATACGCTTCATTCTATCCTGAACGATCGAAAAATATCTAGAAAATCATCATATGTGTGTTTTATAGACATGAAGAAAGCTTTTGACACTGTTGAACATCATCTTTTGTAGTATAAATTACAGCGCGTCGGTGTCAGTGGACAGTTTTTAGCTGCGATTCAATCCTTGTATAATGACTTGAAATGTACCGTTCGTATCAATAGTGACCAGACCCCTTGGCTCAGCGTAGATGCCGGTGTGAAGCAGGGTTGTATCAAATCACCCACTTTGTTTTCAGTCTACATCAATAATTTGGCAGAACGTATAAACTCTCTAGAATGTGGAGTACATATTGATAGTTTCTGTCTCAGTTTTTTGCTTTACGTTGACGATATAGCGCTAATAGCTCCAGATAAAGAAAGTTTGCAACGAATGTTAAATGTAGTATCAGAATGGTGCGCTGAATGGAAGTTATCCGTAAATATCAGTAAAACTAAAATTGTCCATTTCCGTCCACAGTAATTTTTACGTTCAGAATTTTCGTTCCGATGCTCTGGAAAAATTATTGACTATATTGATTCATACAAATATCTTGGTGTGTGGATGGACGAACGTTTAACTTTCGTAAAAAATGAAAAAGAATTAGCCAAAGCAGCGAGCCACGCTTTGGGTGCGTTAATTACAAAAACTCAATCCATGGGAGGGATGACTTATAAAGTTTAAAATAAACTGTATACGTCCGTTGTTGAACCAATTTTACTTTATGGTAATGGAATCTGGGGCACAAAATCGTTCAGTGCCATATCAGCGGTTTTGTACCGAGCATGTAAATTTTTCTTATCGGTAGGAAACGCACATCGAACATAGCCTCAGGCGGTGATATTGGATGGACTTCACCCAGAACTAAACAACATCTAGAAGAAGAAAAGGTTGGTTATTTGAAGTGCATAAGATTGTTGATCGGATCAGCCTAATGGATTCGAATTATGACTTAACTCTACCGACTAAATTAGTTATGCATATTATAAGTGAAAAATTATGTGAACTGGACAACACAGAATGGTATGAAGGACTTTTTGATGACCGTCGTAATGTAAAAAACGGAAACAAATTACGCACATACAGATGTTATAAACAATGTGTGAAAACAGAACCTTACGTATATCTAAACACTTCTAAACAGGAAAGGCGTGTTATGCCTCTGTTTCGCTCCGGGGCTCTACCGCTAGCGCACGAAACTGGCAGATACTCCAGGCCGCCTACACCCGTAGAAGACAGACTTTGTTTGTTTTGTGAGAGTTGTAGTGCAGAGACTGAAAAAACATTTTCTTATTGAATGCACGCTGTATGGCGATATACGATATAATTTTTTCCATGAATGTTCAAAATTTATTCAAGATTTTCACGGCCTAGATGTAGATAGTAAGTAAATTCATTGAAATTATGAATTGTTATGATATACAATATTTCCTATGCAATTTTTATATAAATTTTTCTGGTGTAGAAAATTGTTTTACTGTTTATGAAATTTTTATTAGTCTGAGAGTTTTATTAGTATAATTTGATCAGAAAAAGTAAGAATTAGACAATTTCAGATATATTTAAATAATAATAATTTGAATATATTGATTAATAATTTTTAATGGTCAATTTTGTGACTTGTATGTTTTTAAGTGATATATTTGAAATTGTTATAGAATTTTAAGTTTTATAGTGTCTCATAAGCCGTTTTTATGGCTGGATATTGATTGCTTGATGTGTATATATTTATATAATGATGCTTATTTTTATGTCAATCAATATGTGACACTTTAATAAACTATTTACTTACTTACTTCTATTAATAGATTTGTTTTCCGGTAACAAGTATTATATCCGATCTCTGATTTTTTACTTGGAAATTATATCAGCCATTTTTTCTGTATTGAAAACTAGTGTATTTAAATGAATATGTATGTAAATGCAGGAAGATGACTGATTGTGTTTTATATAGATTGCAATTTTCTTAAGTTGATAAATGACAGTGACCTAAGTCTAATACATGGAATGTAAGTACAATTTGTTCATATCTGATTTTGTTCAAACAGGGAGCAAACAAATTTTATAGTAGGAGATTCATTGTAATATAGATATTACAGCAGGTTCAGTTTAGAAAAAGATGAATAAACTAACCTTATGTATGGCCGATTAAAAACTAGAGGAAAGGGGGCCGAACATTGCACCTCATAACATAAATAATCTGGAGCATTGAAAGCGATGTGGATAAAATTTCCACTCGTGTAAGACCAAGTTCACCTGTTGCCATTCATAATGAAATAAAACCGCATGGAAAAAGAGACCTGTAAGGGTTCAAAAATGTAAACAATAAAAGAAGGGGTAATTTTAAAAACTGGGAAAATATCATGAAAAACTAAATAAGTTGTCAAACTAGGGGGATGGACATCTCAGTCCACAGGTTATCTTCAACTCAGTAGTCACATCTGTACTGGCATGATTTTTAACAAACTTATCCTACATTCTCCGTTGAAAAAATTAAGAAACTAAGATTCTAACTCAATGTCGTATTTATTTTTTTCTCTTATTGTCAATGGTACGAAACAATTTTTGAAAGCAAATTTAGAATTACCCCCCACCCCCACCCCACCCCTTTTCCAAAAAAAGTAATGGTCGAAGCCTTCTTTGCGTAACTATATATTATTCAAGTAAAGTGTAGAAAAAAATTTAATCATATGTGTATTTTGATAGTGTTTTTTAATAAGTTGTTTTCGTAATGTTCAATGTTGGTATCTACTAGATTCATAGATTTAAAAATGGGAAGATACTGATGTTCAGTAGTTGTCGTTTGTTGATGTGGTTCATAAGTGTTTATCGTTTCTCGTTTTTTATATAGATTAGACCGTTGGTTTTCTCGTTTGATTGGTTTTACACTAGTAATTGTTGGAACCCTTTAAAGCTTGCTGTTCGGTGTGAGCCAAGGCTCCGTGTTGAAGACCGTACTTTGACCTATAATGGTTTACTTTTATAAATTTTGACTTGGATGGAGAGTTGTCTCATTGGTACTCATACCACATCTTCTTATATCTATCCACCTTATGAGCAATGAGTAATCACAACTGAAAGGACCACTGACAAAACCACCAAAGATGAAAAAAAGGAATATGATCTAGATAGATTGATGATTGCTTACTTAAGACGTCTTCATAAAAGGGAATGTATCAGTTGGAGTAAAATAAAAAGACTAAATATGCAATAGCCTACCTGAGACTACTATAACACAATAGCAGTCTCAGAGCCTACGTAAAATTATACAGAATACTGAGTATCGGGCAACACGAACTGTATTATACACTATAGTGAACACAGCTGCTCCGAAAGGGGTAAACAGTAATGGCATTCGTTGTAGCTGAATGGCAACTATGAGAAATAAGAAAACATTTCGAATTCGGTAATAACAGATAAAATAGTAAAAAAAAACATGTTACATACGATAAGGTATTACTATTAAAACGAAGAAAATGTACTTATTCAGAAAGTGATCCGGATATTCTGTAGAATGTCAATTTCTTGTCAATCACTTTTAATTATTATCAAAGATTCCCATTAACGGACTGCAATTTTTATGTTTACTTATTTCTAAAGTCTTTTTTTTGGCAGATGTATTCACTAGACATACATTATATGACAATCGTCAAAAAATATCAACTTATTTTGACTTCTGTGCACCACTTAAACTCGTTAAATCCAACCCTTTCCCAGATCTATTAAACTTAATCTCATACAAAAATGATGATATTTTTCTTACAGGGTCCTACATTGTAATATTCGATATGAATACATATTGACCCGGAAATCCCCTTCATATGACGGTAAATGTGATGATTTACGATAACTATTGTTTATATTGAATCTTAACTAAAGCCTTGGAGAGTGCAAACCAGAGCAAGCTACATGTAGCACCACGATTTTAAATCGTTTCCTATGAGTTGAATAGAGATAGACAATACATGACAGGAGTTGCGGATAAATCAGTTGTAGAACTTGTAATTCTGTATGTAAGTATAAAAATAAGAAGATGTGGTACATGTATGATGCCAATAAGACAACTCTCCACAAGAGACCAAAATGACACAGAAATTAACAACTTTAGGTCACCGTACGGCCTTCAACTAGAAGCAAAACCCATACCGCATAGTCAGCTATAAAATGCCATGAAATGACAGATGTAAAACTATTTAAACGAGAAAACTAACGGCCTCATTTATGTACAAAATTATGAAAAAAAAAAACAAATATGATACACAGCAACAAACGACAACTACTGAATTACAGGCTAATGACTAGGGACAGGCACATACACAATGTTGCGGAGTAAAACTTATTTGAAGGCACCAACCCTTTCCCTAACCTCGGGCATGTACAGTGGTACTTTTTGTTCCATTTTCGACCTGCAATATGTAAGAATTATCATCATCACATTTCAACAAAGGCGCATACAATTTTTGAAAGCAAGGCTTTGGCGATATACTAATACTTCATAGAACAGTTCTTGAATGGATTTCAACACTTTGAATATGTTGTTGTTTTAAACAAAAATTGAAGTTCTAAATACAAAATAAGAAACTAAACTGCATTTATCTATACATAAAACTGCTTATACATGTATCTTATCTTTTTCACAACCACAACACATAACAACACTAAGTAACCACACTCAATCCTGTATATATATATACTATTTTTATCATACATTAATCCTTGATATGCTACTCTTTGTCCGTGTGAAAGAAATTGAATTTATCATGTTATATCAGACAGACCAGCTTCCTGGTACCTTTTTAAGCAACTACAAAGGGTTAAACATGTTTTGAGAGATCTCAACCCTCCCACTATACCTCTAGCCAATGTGGAATAAACAAACGCACAGTAAAACTCAGTTGAAAAGAAGTCAATATAGGTATGTTAGATGTTAGAAAAGGTAACAGAAGAATCTAAGCAAAATGACAATGACCAACATAAATTAACAAAGGACTACTAGCAGTTACTGACATGCCAGCTCTAGACCTCAATTAAACTGATTGATAGAGCATGGCTTCATCATATGAAAATCAAGCACAATCTCCCCGTTAGGGGCTTAGTATCATACCATCATACGTGAAGAACATAACCCGTATATTCTGTAAAGATAACAGAAACAAAAGACAGCAAAATAAGGAATAATAATAGAGAATATTGGGGTGCTGAAATATACTGAGAAATAGAGAATAACGGGCCAAAAAAAAAAGAATAGAGAAAAATGAATGACTCCACCAAGACCCTCATATAGGATAGTACCAAAAACTGGTGCTTCAAATTATGTCTAATTGGATGACTTTAATATAAAATGATATATAAATGCGACATGCCTTGCTGAAAGATAACACCGAACAAAGGTTTAACATTAAATGCATTAATGCCTCAAAATCAGTAAATGATTATAAAAAATACATTTATCATGTTCCTCTTTTTGTGTGTGTTTTTGTTACACTCCACACATCCTTGTATGTATGTAATAAAGAGATAATGTAGCACATTATTTCTTAGATCAGTCAAAATATCATCCCTCGAACTGAGGCCTCGGGACATTGGTAGTACTATGAAAAATGATTGAACAGAATATAGATATGATGACATCGTTTAACAATACCTAATACAATACGTTTGACCACTCCCATAGGTATCTTATGGTCTTGAAAGCCATAACGTGGTCTATTCATCAACTCCATTGCCGCTTCGTTAAGAGTACCGGTTACGGGTAAGCTATTCCATCGCTGAAATTCCCTAAATATATATAAAAAAAACGTTTTTTAAGTATGTGTTGGTGTGACTTAGTTTATCGTTTAGGACGTTTAGTGGCTTTTTGATAACTTAACATGTCACTATCAATGACAACATCATACTATATGCAACTCATTGCTACAATTTTTTCCTCGGGTGATTTTAAAGGAAGAAGTGATACTTATTTTTGGTCGACGCCACGACAAACAAATCTAAAGGAGCAAAGTTACAAATCTTATTTTGATTAGAGAGCGGGTATATCACGTATATTGCTAAAATTATAATGTATATCATTATGAACTTGAGGTATCAAGAATTCTCTATTATGTTGTAATATATGTACCTAAGCCGCACCGCTCTGCTTGGAGCAGAACCAAATGTACCGCCAGTTCTTTCAGTGACAATTTGTTTTTCCATTTAAGTAACAAAAGGAATAAATATATATCTGTACTACTAAAATAACGTTATTTCTTGAAAATTTAGTGTTTTAATATTTTTATATGTCCTGTTTTGAAACAACTGATTTTTATAGTTTGTTCATACGTTGTACTGTTACACCACTGTCCCAGGTAAGGGTGAGGGTTGTGTGTCCGCTAACATTCTGTATGTGCCTGTCCCAAGTCAGGAGCCTGTAATGCAGTGGTTGTCGTTTGTTGCTGTATATCATATTTGTATTTCGTCCATTGTTTTTTTTACATAAATCAGGTCGTTAGTTTTCTTGTTTGAATTGTTTTACATTTGTCATTTCTGGGCCTTTTATAGCTGACTATGCGCTATGGATTTTGCTCATTGTTGAAGGCCGTACAGTAACCTATAGTTGTTAACTCCTATGTCATTTGGTTTCTTGTGAAGAGTTGTCTCATTGGCAATTATACCACATCTTATCATTATTCTAATATATGTTCTTAGTTCAAGATCCTGTTGGGAAATATAGAAATGTCGTTATGTCAAACAAAATCAAAAGAACAAAATGTAATACGTTAATCCATTATTAAAGCTCAATGTGATTTGAAAGGAGGAGAGGATTATCATACTCTATGTGCATGTCCTAAGCCAAGAGTTCATATTATATTAATATTTTTATCTTACCTTTTATTGAAATAATTCAATGGTTCCTTCAAATGTGTTATTTGGTCTTTTTGAAGGCTCTATGGTGATCTATAATCATCCATGAGAGTCATAGTATTAGAGATATCTTGACGAAAGGTACGAACGAACATAAGGGAGCATTCAT